TGTTCTGCCAGCCCAAAGGCAGGCAGTTTAAGTCCACCAGCTGTTCTGTGAGAGAGAGATGGTTAGTCTCCTCCTGTGCCATTTACAGCCTCTGAACATCTGCTGGAAAGTCAGCTCTGAGTTGGTTCTGATGCCATGGCAATAAGTTTGAAGGTTATTGGGGTTTTTTAGTAGTATTGTACCAAATAATTTCACTGCCCTAAAAATGTCCTGTGCTCTGCTTTTTTATTCTCCTTTCTCCCCTTCACTTCATAGAAGAAGTCATTTTACTGTCTGTGGGTTTTTTCAGGACATCATGTAATTGAATCCTGTAGTATATACCCTTTTTGGACCAGCTTCCCCCACTTAGAAGTATGATCTGAGCCTTTTTTGAAAATGGAAGTTGCAGTCTTAGATTATCTCCACATTCATAAAAACTGGATAAATCATTTGTGGGACCCAACCAAGAGCCTTCAGAGATTACCTGGACTCTGTGGTACAGATTGAAAACCCCTGCAGTATAGCACTGCCTGCAGCAGGTGTAGGCACAAGATCCAGAGGAAAGAGCTGCTTGTCAGCTCGTCAGTTTAGATGAGAATATCAGCTCCCAGTGCTTGAGCTGGAATGGACCTCAGGGCTGTTCAGTCCCATGGTTTTTAAGAAATCCTCTCCCCTCCCCAAATAGCAGAATCCTATCTTCCAAGGTAATTCTAAACAGAACCCCTGAGAAAACAGAGTAGAGTCAAGGATACTGGCAGCCCTGATGGGTTTGCCTCTCACAGCTCTGGTTTAACCACCTGAGGTTAAGGTGAGGAGGTGTGCTGCCATCCCAAAGTTACATCGTTCAAATCCACCAGCTGCTCCAAGGGAGAAAGATGGGCAATATCCTCCAGTGTGACTTATTGCTTCTGAAAACCCACTGGAGGGTCAGCTATGGGTCGGTTCTAACTGGAAATACAAAACAACAGCAACATATTATCTTGGAAGAGAAAGTCCCAGAGAGTTGGGACCTCTTGGCCAAAGTCACCAATGGGGCTGAAGGGAACCCATTTTATTAGCAGAGGTCAATGCCCTGAGGAAATAGGATGCAGGATGGATGGTGTGCTGGCTGGCTGGCGGAGAGGCTGGGAGAGGCCAGAGCATAGAATCAGTGACTAGAGTGGGAGTGAGGTCAGGGAGTAGACAGTCTGTTTGAGAAGGGATAGGGAATCCCAAAGTTAGATTCTGCTCATCCAAATATTACTAAGGACATGCACTAAAATTCTGTCTGAAATTCAGATTTATTGATTATTCAGATTTATTGAGGTCTTATATCCAGTAACCATCGCCCCTCTAGTTTCTCTTCCTCCTTGCCTTCTTAAACCCATTCCCAGGAGCTTGTTAAAGCCCTGGTTTGAGCTTCCCAGTTGAGTATCCTTGGTGTTCTGAGGTGGCAGTGGAATAGGCGGTCAGACTGCTGGGAGTTGAGAGTTGAGGGTGAGGAGTGCAGCAGTCCTCCGTGGGCAATCGTAATCGTCCTGGCCATTGGTCCCATTCAGCTCTGAGAGCTGGCCAGACACACTCCTCTGAGACACCGTGGGAGGGCAGTTCATTGCCTCAGGAATAATGTCGTGCTGGGAAAGCCCTAACCATTCTGGCCACTTCCTTATGGCTGGTTCTAGCAAGAACAGATGCTGGGATCAGAGCTTTTCCTCCTGTGGAGAAAGGTCTGAGTGTTCAGCAGGCGAGTTACAATCAGGCAGACGTTGCTAAAACAACTCCTATCCTTTTCAAATTCTTTAGAGTTTGAGTTCATTTGGCGAGTTGTTATGTACTGTCAAATCAGAACCGACTCATAGCTGACCGTCCAGTGGGTTTTCTGAGGCTGTAAATCACACGGGAGGAGATTGCTCATCTTTCTCCCAGTGAGCAGCTGGTGGATTTGAACCATGTGTCTTGGGTTGGCAGCATAACTCCTTATCACTAAGCTCCCTCTTAGGGGAGTCTTATTCATTCCCATTCTAGCACGTAGCTTAACACTAGACACAACACAGATGCTCTAAACCACAAGATTAAATTTTGGGTTTATGATTACCCTTTGAAGACTAATTCCTACTCTGACTCTCATTTTATGGTTAGAGAAACTGAGATAGGGAGGGCTGTTTACCTAGAATCACAGAGAACCTTGGGTGCAAAGAAAAATGGGTATTACTCACCTCAATTGCCTTCCACTCAATGCAGCCTTATATCATTGAGGGCCTGAAGTTAGAGGCCTGTGTGTCTCCGGCCTCTTTAAGCCTCAGTTTCCCTATGTGGAAAATGAGACTAATTGGCTGCTGTCAGCAGAAGTAAGAACTGTAGCTGCTAGAGATGGTGGGAACTGTAAGATCCAGTGGCTGTGAATGGGCTTTGCCTGTGCCCGTGGCACCCCACCCCACCCCAAGAGAGTGGAGCTGCACAGGAGAAGTCTCCTCTCACATCTCACCTGGCTTAGTGTCTGCTGCTATGAGCACTGACAGGTGGAGCAGCACCTCCTTGGTGGAAGGTTCTCCTAGCATCCTCCATGTGGATGAGAGGGAAGATTTTTTCCATTGGTCTCAGCTTAGCTGGCTCCAGAGCGGATCCTAAGAACCAGCCCCCTCACTTCTAGTGACCACAGAATATAACTTAGAAGTAGAAGCTATAGAGCTCATTGATTAAAGGACACCAGAGTCCCTTGAGGGCACTGGGAAGTCTGGACATTAAACTTTGGCTTTACCACCAACCTGCTGTGTGACTTGGAGAATAGCCTGTCTTTCTCTGGCCTTGAGACTGGTCACCTCATCTGCAAGGGGTAGGGCCCAGACACAATGACTCTGAAGGCTTCTTGGGCTCACCCATGCCTGTCCCTCCTCTCCAGCTAGTCTGGGAGCTTCTGGCCTCCCTTAAGGCTGTTGTTGAACTCTGGGCTCTGCCCAGAAAAAGCTGGGCAGTCCACTGGCCCACTGATCAGCCAGTGGGCAGACAGCATGCCGATCACATCTTGTGTGGCCTCTCTGAGCCTTTCTCTGTCATCCTTCCACAATGGGGCTGACAGCAACCATGAAAGTCTGTGAGGTGCTGCAGGAGACCAGAGCTGGACTAGCACTTTCCCTTGATCTGGGCAAGACAGGGTTCCTGTTTTTCAAGGAAGGGTGTGCCGAGGACAGAGTACCTAAGAGGTGTGCAGTGGGCAGTTCTGTCAGGAAATGAAAGAAAAATCTGAACAAAATGTAGACATCTAGGCACAGTTCTCTATGGACCAAATATAGTTAACATCAGGGACATTTTTCCCATTCTATTTTTTTGTCTTTGAATAAGAGCAGCTATTTGTCCAAGTCCCCCAGCAGGCTGGGGATGAGGAGCTGTCTGTGATTCGTGTTGGATGCTGGGGGACCTGGAATGTGTCCAGGCTCCGCTTGGCTGCCAGTGGCCCTCACAGAATAGTGTTTTACTACAGATTCGGCCAGGGGTTGTCGAGCACTCTTCTCACAGTGGAATGCTGCCAAGAAGGCACAGGGGACTTAGTTCTGTCCAGATAGGGGGCTTCAGGGTCACTTGGGCCAGAGAGCAGCCAGGGAAAAGTGAAAGGCAAGGATACACACATCCATGGGCCAAGAGCATAAGGGCAGGGTGGGGAGAAGGAGGAGTGATTGCCAAGATAGGAGTAAGATCCTCTTTGCATGCCTGGCGCCTGCTGCGTTTGAGGCCATGAAAACTTAATAAAAAATGAGATGAGAGAGTGAACATCAAACCGTAAGAATCCAAATAAGGTCAGTACTTTAGTTAGTGTTATGGCACCTGTGTCACCTTCCTGGTTTTGACCATGGTTATATAAGATGTTATTGTTGGGGGAAGCTGGGAGAAGGGTACATGGGAACTCTCTGTACTATTTTGCAACTTCTATGGAGTCTAAAATTATTCCAAAATAAAATAAAAAATATCTGGGCATGTGAATCTGCTTTTTGCTCTGGGGGACACCACAGCCTCCACTCCTGCTTTCCAGGTGTTTATAGAGGGACCAAGGGAGCTCTGGTGGCATAGTCCGTAAGGAGTTATACTGCTAATCCAAAGACCACATCTCTCCAGAGGTTCGAATCCACTAGGCTCCTTGAGAGGAAGATGGTCAATCTCCTCCTGTACAACCTCAGAAACCCAATGAAAGACCATCTCTGAGTACTGCCAACTCCACAGTGATGGCTTGGAAGGGATATTGTTGTTGTTGCTGTTTGTTTTTTGTTTTTTTAAATAGGGGGCCAAGCTCTACAATCAAGGTCTCCCCCAAATCTTACATAAGAGAGCTGATGCAGGGATAGGCACTTAGCATAGTTCCTGGCACAGAGTAGAGTTTTGAAAATGTGAGCCAAAGCTATCATATTATTTCTATTTTAGAAGGAAGCAAACAGATTCTCAGAGACAAGAAGTGGCTTGGCCACGTCCCTTAGTTAGAAAGTGGCTAAAGTGGTTTTGACCTTACAATCCGAAGGCCGAGGCTTTGGGCTAAGCCATGCTCTTCTGTTAAATTGATGCTGTGAATTTGTAAGACTTTCTTGGAACTTCAAGACATGTCTGACCTCCCTTCCTCCCTCTATCTATGTGTTTTCCCACCATCTCTTCCCTGGGGCTTTGGATTGTCCTTCAGGGGCTTCAGTGAACCAGGTGCTGTGGTTTGAGAGGAAGGATGTGGCACTGGCTATGCAGCTCCTGAGGCCTCTGCCACTTGTAGGGGCCCATCGACCCTGTGTCCCCTCCTGTAATGTGGGTGCAGTACCCAGCCTCATCCTTCATCACTCTCTGAGCAACCTCTCCTCCCGTGAACATTGACAGGCAGAGCGGCATCGCCTTGGTGGTGTCCACTGCATGTTCCATGGGGAGGAATGACAAGGAGGTCTCAGCTCGGCCAGCTCCAGAACCCTTTTCCCGAGGCCTACACAGGGGTCTAGTGCAGAGGGTAGCTGAAGTGAAACCTAGACCGCCGTGAGGTGCTTGCCCTGGCTCTGACCTAGCTGACCATTGTGTTACAGAGGACACCTACAGCTCTGAGGAGACCGTGGACCACCAGCCTGTCCTTCTGAGGGTCATGGATACTGCAGACCCGGTAACTTGACCACGTTACCCATGGGACCAGTACAGCCACCATACAAACGTTGACCTCAGCAACAGGGGCCTCAGATGGGAATCCATGTCCCTTTTAAGCTCCAACTTGCTATGTGACCCCAACTGCTAGGGGCTTGAATCATTTCATTTGCTAAATGAGAAGGCCTGGGATGGGAGCTGGTAGACCTGATAGTTACTGGCATCCCACTCTAGTCCTTATGTTTGTGCCACAGTAACAGGTGCACACACATGTGTACACAGACATCTCTGGTGAACACCGCTTAGCCAGAGTCCTCCCCACCACCCACCAGCACACACTTATGCGTGTCTCCTCTGTGTGCTCATTACATGCTGCCCAGGCCGGATGCCAGTTATTCTCAGAAGCCAAAAGGGCAGCATGAACTTGACCTCAACTCAGCAGTGCCCATGGATAGCCAGGTCTCCACCGGGGCTCTGCCAGAGTCTTTGGCTCTGTGTCCAACAGGCCAAGGGCTCCAAGTACTTGGCTGGGTGGTGGGAGGGAGCCTCATGAGACAATGTCTTCTTTCAGGCCAAGCCAAGTCCACACTCAAATGTCTCTTTGAGAAGGGTTCTTCTGGGGAACAATATACAAAGACCCTGGAATGGGGAGATGGAATGGGGCAGTTCAGGTGAGACCTTCACTCAAACTCCTCTGACCCTGACTGTGGCTTTCTTCTCCACAGGACACCCCCAGGAACTGCGAGCGCTACCTGAACTGGGCCCACGCCTTCCTGGTGGTGTACAGCGTCGACAGCCGCCAGAGCTTCGAGGGCAGCAGCAGCTACCTGGAGCTCCTCGCGCTGCAGGCCAAGGAGACCCAGCGGGGCTACCCCACTGTGCTGCTGGGCAACAAGCTGGACATGGCCCAGTACAGGTGAGCCCGGGCACCTTGTCCCTCACTGCGGGAGCTCCCTCTCCTCCTGCATAAAGGGAGGGGTCATCTCCAGGGATTATCTGACAGCTGTTGGCTGTCAAGTCAATTCCAACTCTCAGTGACCACCCAGGTCTGCAGAGTAAGGCCCCAGCCTGCCTTCAGAGGTGCCTTTGGCTGGGTTAGGACTGCTAACCTTTTGGCTAATAACTGAACACTTAGCTGTTTGAACCACCCAGGGACTCTGCTAACACCAGTAACCCACCCTAGTTCAGATAAAAGTGAGCATATCGTAAGAGTATTATGGGTTTGGTCTTCCAGGCAGCCAGAGGCCAGAAGGGAAGGGCCTTTAGGCCACACAAGAAGTCAGAAGAGAGGCCATTCCTTCCACCCCATGGGACCCTGTGGTCTCCCCTGACCTCACCCTTTCTTGCCAGAGTCTATGTGATCTTCCATTTCTACCTCCCAAAGCCAACTCGGGCACCAGTGCCTAGTCCCGCTTCTAGGAGAGAGGCTCTGATTGGCTCTCACCTCACCTAAGTATGACTCAGGCTCTACCACAGTCGGCTGTGCTGACAACAGTCTCTTAGAGCGCTGGGTTTCAATCAGAGGTCACAGTCTGGGCCAGAGGGCAGATTACCACAGAATGCTATAGCCTGTTTTGCTTGGCTGGCACCATGGTGTTTTTTTTTTTTAAAAAAAGCAAACAAACATGGAATTGGAATGTTTCTGAGGTGGAGAATGCTGATGCCTTCTGACCACCTCTGCCTAAGAGTTGCCTCCACTCTCCCTACACATTCCAGTTGCTTGTCTGCCCCTGAGGCATTTGAGATTGATGTTTACCCTTGAAGAGTATTCAGTGGATGTTGCCTCCTAGGTGGTCAGTCCACCTGCACAGTGTGATGGGAACCCATGTTGTGGCAGGGAAGGGATGGGGCTGGAAATAGCCTTCTTCCTTTGGCCACAGGCAGGGCCTGACAGGGAGACTATCCCAGCTCATGGCTAGTCACTGCTACTTCCCCACACCCCAAAGATGCATTGACGACTGCTAGCTCGAGGGAGCCCTTTGTTGAGATGGGTAATGGGTACAGGGAAGTGTGGTCTCCTAATGATGGGCCACAGAACAGGGCGCTCAAGAGTCAAGCCTTCAGACCCACACAAATGAAATTTCAGGCTAAATGAGGGACAATCTAGGTGTGACCTTAAAGCCACAGAAGGTGGTCTCTGAGGAAATCACAGAACCTGAGAAAGGTGGGTGAGAAGATTCAACACAAGGAGAAAGACACAGACCACTAATTATAACCCCATTCTTTGCTAAAGGGAGCGTGTAAAAATGGTTTGAGAGTGAATAGCAAAGTGCAGGGCTCAAGAGAAATCACATTAGCTCGTTAAGGACAAATCATGACTGTTTGTCGCCACTTCCTTTTTTGACGAAGTTGTTGCATCAGGACTTGGTGGACACAGTCTTAACTTCCAGTCAAGCATTGATCAGTGTGTCTTAGAGCTAATAGAGTAGAATATATGTTTGAACAGTGGTCCCCAAATTGCTGATAACTAGGCTGCAACAGAATAAGACAAAAGAAAGGATATTATCTGCATTTGCTGCCTGTTCATACACATGCATGGACACATGGGGGGCTGTGGGGGCTTGTTTCTGAAAAATCCATCCATCAGGCTCTCCCACCATGATGGGGTGACACATTCCAATGCTTCCTAAAAGCAAATAATACCCAGTATCCTTTCAGAGAGATTCCTCAAGGACATGGATGGAGAGTGGGTTAAAACTTCTGTCCCTGACCCTTTTTGTCCTTGGACATTCATCCGGCCTCACACTATAGGGCAGTGCCTAAGCCAGCTAGCCCACTCCTGCCCCTTAGGCCTGTCCCATTAACCTCAGCTGAGAACCCTTTTTCTACTGGTGCCCACTCTAGAGCCTCTTCTCATTTACCTTTCTCTGTTCCATTGTCAGTTGGGACAACTCAACAGTGGGTGGTGACCAGGAGAATTCAACCATTAGAACCATATGCCCTCAAGACTCCAGGGACCCCATGCCTTTTCCCTTATCTGTATGTCTGGCATAAGAGCGAGCCAGGCTTCTTTCCTCAATTCCCATGGCTGTCAAGTAGGAAGTTTCTAGAACATTCTAAGGTACAAATAACCTTTTTTATCTTCAAGGGAGCTGGTATAGGACCAAGTTGGGAACAGGAGCCACTCTTTCTGCCTTTCCTCCTGCTCTGCGAAGTGTTGTCACCCTGTTCTCTTCTGTCTGTCCTTCGGGCAGGCAGACAGAACTCTTCCCACATTTTGAGAAGACCCTGTCCACCTGAGTCACCACAACCCATCATGGCTCTGCGGACTCTGTGGTCCAACAACTGACGTTCTCTACAGCTGATCCCACAGGCCAGGGCTGCAGGTGGCCCGTTTCCTGATCAAGGGACCTGTGTTGTGTCAGGAAGAAGGGGAGCTGGAAATGGCCTTCTTTCTCTCACTGCAGGCAGAGCCTAAGCGTGAGAAATTTAGGGCCAAATCCTCTCTCACTCCTTGTCACATTCCTAAATTCTGGTTTTGGTACCATCAAACCACCACACTATCTCTGTGCCAGGTGTTACGCTGAGGGCTGGACATGAAATTACCTGGCTTAATCCTCACAACAGCCCCATGAGACAGATGCCACTGTCCCATTGTAATGTATGAGAAAACAGAGACTCAGAGTTAGATCTGACACAAAGTCGTCCAGGTAGTAAGTGGGGGTGCTGGAATCGGCCTGGCACGTTGGGACATTGTCCTGATTCCTCTGCTCTGCTCTGTTCTCCTCACCAGGCAGGTCACCAAGGCTGAGGGCGCGGCACTGGCAGGCAGGTTCGGGTGCCTGTTTTTCGAGGTCTCCGCCTGCCTGGACTTTGAGCACGTGCAGCACGTCTTCCATGAGGCCGTGCGAGAGGCCCGGAGGGAGTTGGAGAGGAGCCCCCTGGCCCGCCCCCTCTACATCTCGGAGGAGAGGGCCCTGTCCCACCAGGCCCCGCTCACTGCCCGCCATGGCCTGGCCAGCTGCTCCTTCAACACCCTCTCCACCGTCAGCCTGAAGGAGATGCCCACGGTGGCCCAAGCCAAGCTGGTCACTGTGAAGTCATCCCGGGCCCAGAGCAAGCGGAAGGCGCCCACCCTGACCCTGCTGAAGGGCTTCAAGATCTTCTGAGATGGCCCCCTTCAGGGTCCTGGACTCAACAGCTGGGCAGGGCTGCAGGACAAGGGCAGGCTTCTCACCACCTGCCTTTCCCTCTGGTGGACAGCTGACCCCTCCTGCAGTGCCATGCAGTGTCCCTGACAGTGACTTTGTGAGATGGAGGGACAGGCTTCTGTTTTCCCCAGGCCCTAATCTCCGTGGTAACCCTGCAGGGATACAGCCACTGTGGCAACCAAGAAAGTGCAGTGTCCAGCCTGGCGTCACCACCTCCTCTCCGTGGTAGAAGCTGGGCTAGATAGGGACCGCCCTGGGAAGGCCTGTGGAGGTGTCGACAGAAGTGCCTGCAGAGGAGGCAGCCCCGGGGCCCGAGCGCCTCCTGGTGGACGGGAAGAGAAGGACAACTGCAGGTTTTGGTGGCCAGAGCCTGACCCTGCTGCCTTTTGACCTCACAGAAGCAAGGGCCAACAGACCCCATAGTTTTTCCAAATTAGATCTAGTTGTGGAACAGCCTTGGAAAAGACACAGGAATGAGTATTTACAGTACTTCTGCCTCTCTTCAGTTGAAGTGGAAGGAGGGCTCTGGGTTGTCAGTATATGAAGGCTCTGAGGTTTCTTTCACTAGCACAAAAAGCCCCTCTGTTTTCCCATGTTAGGGAATCTGTCCACAGGCCCTCGGGATCTGCCTCCTCAGGTTTAGTGATCGAACCTGTAGAACAAGGTGGTTCTTTCCAGGGTGCCCACAACTGGCACTATCAGACACTGTCCTTGGGCACTCTTAGCATGTTTCAACCTCATTGGGAGAAACATAGGGTATAAATGATACCCATTTGTAGCCTGTACTGAAGGACCCCTTTTAGTGCAGTAGTTAAAGCTCTCAGCTGCTAACTAAAAGGCTGGTGATTCAAACCCACAGTTCCTCGATAGACAGGAGACATGGCAGGCTCTTCCATAAACATTACAGCCTTGGAAACAGCCTGTGGTGGCTCCACTTTATTCTGTGAGGTCAGAATCTGCTCAGTGAGAGTGGGTTTGGTTTTGGTGGTTTTACTCCTGTCTGCCAAGACTGCTAGTCTCTGCAATCGGTCTGGGTGTTCAAAGGCCACTTCAGTAAGTTAAAGCAACTCTATAGGAGAAAGATGAGCACTGTCCTCCTGTGCAAATTACAGCCTCAGAAACCCTATGGAGGGTCAGCGATGAGTCGAGTCTGGATCAAAGGCAATGAGAGAGGGGAAGCATTTTTTTGCTAATTATTATTTGCATGAATTATTTAGTGTCAGCACTACTAAGGCACAGTGTTGTGGACACTGGCTTAGGATAGTCTCTTGGAATCCCATTGGTAGAAAGAGGTTTCAGGGTAAGGAAGTTCAACAGGTGATTTTGTTTGAAGTCTTGTTCACCACAGGACCCCTGGCCCAGAGGAGCTCTTGGACACTCAGCATATTAAGTAGGTAAAGGAGAGGCCTCTGCTGGGGAGAAGGGATGGATAAGAAGGGGATTCTAAATCTAAGATCCTCTAACTCCTCTCAGCATCCCACGAGTGTGGGCTTAGCACCACAGCTTCAACCCAGCCTCCAGCTGCATTTGACAGAGAAGCTGAGGTCACAGGAAGGATGTGACCCACTCAAGACTACAGGCTGAAAAGCCATGACAACCTCCCTGACCCCCAGGCCCACTGCAGATTTGCACTTTTGCTCCAGGCCACTCACATGCATGGACCACTGCTGTTTGAACAAGTTATGCAAACCTAACTTCCCACTTCCAAAAGCATTTTTAATAAAATGGATTTTTTTTTCAAATAACAATTTTTGGTTTAATAGTAGTTCATTCCTATTGCCAGCTAACAAAAAACCCCAAAAATCACATGGCTACAGTTTAATGCTCTGAGCTGCCCCTAGGTCTCAGATTCTGGTGTATCTGGAAAGAAAATTGACGAGACTTCTTTCTCTTTTAACTCAGTTTCCTCATGGGCCTGTATGTCGTCTTTGTCCCTGGTCTCAGGTAGATGCCGCACTGCGAGGGTTGGTGCGCCTCCCTGCTGCTGCAGCTTGCGATTTCTACGAAGAAAGGAAAAGCGTTTTTTAATTTGAATTGTTTGAGCTGAGATACCGAGAGTTTAGGGCAGCGCTGGGGTTTCCCAAATGGGTTCCTTCAAAGGAAGGGAAAATCTTGGCTGTTTTGAGAGCTGTTGGAGAGCAGTTGAGTTCACCATCAGCTCATACCTGCACATGCACTGTCTCAGTTTTCAACAACACCTGTGAGCTCAGCTATTCTTACCATCCCCTTCAGGCTGCTAACCAAAAGGCTAAAGGTTCGAATCCACTAGGTGCTCCAGCCGAAAAATAGGCCATCTCCTCCCCATGGAGATTTACAGGCTTGGAAACCCAGAGAAGGGGCTCTATGAGCAGATTTGGCTCACAGCAGTAGGTGGGACCCCACACAGCCAGAAGTCTGGCTTATTTCAGGATGGGCACTTACGTCTCCTGACTGGATGCTGTGTTCTTTCCACAACACCACACTGTCACTGATCGCAGGACTCTCCTCCTACTTAATGCAGGTCCTTTCCCTACCCTCAGTTTACCCTCTTCTCCCAAAAGGAACTACTTTAGAAGATTCCTACTGATTCTGCCTGCTTATTTCTCCAACCCCAGCCTACAAGCACTCATCCTGACGTATGCACTTCATGCTTCTCAATTCAGGCACCTTCAGTGGGTTCCCATTGCCCACATGTCATTCAAGACTCTGTATGAGTTTGCTCATTACATTTCCAGCCTTCCCTCCGATAACTCTCCTGATCTGTCCTCCTCTGAGCTGGTTTTACTCATGGTAACCCTAGGCTCCCAAGTGCATGTAGAAAATGGTCAATCTGCTGTGATCCCTGCACTCAGGACTCCCAGGTCGGTTCGGGCTGCACATTAGACTCATCCTGCCTCCAGTCCATTATGCCAGACCCGGTCAAGAAGAGGCCCACTATTTTTAATTTCCTCTAAGTTCTCTATTTTTAAGTACTCCTTGAGCAATTCTATTGTGCATCCAGGATTAAGGAGCACCATTATAGGGAGCTCTGGTGGCCATATTTATAGGGAAACCTTTTCCACTAACCCGAAGGCCATGCCTGTTCTGTGGTTCGAATCCACCAGTGGCTTTGAAGGAGAAAGATGGGCACTTTCCTCCCATGTGATTGAAGGGTTGGTTCCTATGCGATGAAGATGAATGGAGTTAAGGTTGAGTTGTGTGACAATGCTAGAAGCATCCAGCAACCTCAGCTGATCTTGGGTCTCTGCGTGACCCTAGATTTTTTATCTTGGAACAGGGTAAGGCATCCACCTTTAATAGTATTCACAGTTCTGCAACAAAATGGAATTTGAACCATGTCTGTGTTACCAGGGTCAGATCCTAAACCCTGGGGCACACAGGCCCCACCTGCCTGCTGGCCAGGGCAGGATAGAAGGGTAGTAATTAGGGACAGCTATGGGGTTTTCAGTAGTTTCCCTGAAGGACCCCTAAAGCCTACATTTTGCTAAATGAGAGAGTGGATAGTCAAAGCTCATAGGTAACTGACTCCCCACCCTCCAGAGGCAACCCCCAGACCAATGCCTCACCTGTTTGCCAGGATACTCCTTCCCAGGAGGACGAAGCTTATCACAATTACAATGAAGGTCAGGGTAAGGATGGCATAATTCCAAGGAGATGCTGGGGAGAAGCACATGAGACAGCATTGACCCAGAGTCCAGATGGAGCGCTAATCTAATGTACAACAGTTGCATAGTGTCATTGCCATTGAGTTGGAACCAACACATAGGATAATCCTCCAGCAGGGTTTTAGAGGCTATAAATCGCATGGAAGGACCTTGCCCATCTTTCTCCTGAGGAACTGCAGCCCAGCTCCCTGCTGACTACGCCACCAAGTCTCTGAAGATATATAGTTGTTGTTAGGTGTCCTCGAGTCAACTTAGAGCGACCCCTATGAATGAAGGATCTGAACCCAGCCCTGTCCTGTGCCATCCTCCTCGTCTCTGACATACATGAGCCCATCGCTGTCATCACTGTGTCAGTCCGTTTCATTGAGTGTCTGCCCCTCCTTTGCTGCCCCTCCACTTTAACAAGGACTGGCTTTTCCTAACAACATGTCCAAAATATGTGAGAGGACATTTCACCATCCTTCCCTTTAAGGAGCACTCTGGCTGCATCATAGGGAATAAAAACGTATGGGAAAAGTCGTTGGCCAAGCCAAACTGCAAAATCTTCCATTTTGCCAGAGGCTCGCCTTGTGAGGTTTGGGACAGGAAAGAAGGAAGGACACTTGAAGTGGATAGAACTAATGGTTCCAGATAATATGAACTGGATGGTCAAGCTCTGGCTTCACTGTACCAAAACAGGGAGGAGCCCTGGTGGTGGTGTAATGTGTGACGTGCTGAGCTGCTGACCGAAGACTCAGTACTTTGAATCCACCAGCCACCCTATAGGAGACAGGTGGGCAAACAGCTCTGAACCCCGAGGGAGGGTTACCATGTGTCAGATCAACTCGATGGCATGGAGCAGGGCGCTCTGGTGACACTGTCTATATTGAGTTGTGCTGCTAACACAAGGCCAGCTGTCACTGGCTATTCAAATCCACCAGCTGCTCTGCAGGAGAGGGACAGGCAGTCTCCTTCAACTACAATTCACAGCTGCAGAAACCTTTGCCAGAATCAGAATCAACTCACGGCAGTGAGTGAGGGCTGACACGAGGGACCATCCGACCTCAGCTGTTCTGTCTGCTGTTCCCTCCTCCTGGAACATCCTTCCTCCCACAATCCAACTGGCTCATTCTCTCACTTCCCGCAAATCTTGATTCAAATCCCATCTTCTTACCCAGACCTCGGATTAGGCACATTTCAAATACCTCATTGCCACATGCTACCTCGTCCCCTTCTCTGCTTAATTTTCTCTTTATGACTCACTTTTTTTTTAAAAAAAAAGTTACTTAGCCTGTTTATTTTCTACCTCCTCCACTATCATGTACATTCCACCAG